CGCCTTCCTAACCCCATAAGGAAGTTATCGGGCTTGAGATCTCGATGAAGGAAAGATTTTGTATGAACAAATTCCACCCGGTTTATCTGAGAAGAAATCGCTTTTCTCAAGGGTGAAGAGAATTTTATTTGCTTAACAAACTATATAACCATATGAATGAAACTTGACTCTACCATCTGATCAGCAAGCATAAGAACAGTCTTCAAAGAGAGCTTCCTACTGCAGAAATTGAATAGATCTTCTAGACTTGGTCCCAGCAAATCAATCACAAGTACATTATAGTCTCCTTCTACACCAAACCATTTTACATTGGGGATTCCGGCTGCAGCCAAAAAGGTATTCAAGATTAAACAGACCACTTAAAAACAAAAGGTTGAAAAATCATTGGTCGAGAGAGAAATTTACTTCCTCCTTGTAGCAATTTATACAACTTCGACTCGTATAGTAATTGAGGATGCTTTGTCTTTACATTCTCCTAAATAGGAAAATGATCAAATAAGCACAATAAAGAAGTAAATTGATATTGAATCACTAACCTGTCATGCTACACTCTCTTGCAAAACCAAACCAAACCAAACCAGGACATGAATTATTGTTCTCATTTCACAAGAATTGACTCAATAATTCAATACCCACACAACAAATGATGCCAAGAAGTTCATTGAAATTTGTTTCTTGACAGATTACGAATTGAAGAACACGTTAGTAGAAACAGATAGAGTCCATCAATGTTTGGTAATAACTACTAAAATATTATGGGGTAAATTTTCAAGAACTTTTGAAGATTGGATCTTTTACTCACAAGCTTAATGGCCACCTCTTCATTACTCTGAACATTAGTCCCTGGAAAATTCGCAGAAGAAATTAGGAAAACAAGAAAAGGGGGACAATCCTTGAAAGATGCAAACTTTAGGGCAACCTACCAAGATAGATCTCTCCGAATGAGCCGCTGCCGATTTTCCGACCAAGCCGGAACTTGTTTCCAACGCGAGGCTCCATCGAAAGAGCTCTCTGATTTCCAAGATCAAATTAGCTACGGAATTTGAAATTTAAGAAAAAAAAAGATGAAAAAGAAAAGAACTTTGGAGATGAAAATGAAATCCCAGAGAGAGATAATTCAGGGGGGGAAAAGACAACCTTTGAGTTACTGGCAGAATACGGATTTCGGTTTCTGCCCCGCGGTGGTGGGGAGAGGAAGGAGAAGAGAGCGAATCATAAAGCTTTGCAATCCAAGCAGGCAAAGACAGACTCTTTCTTATTGATTGCAATTATACGTTTTTCTCAGGCAGTTAATTGCTCCTTTTTATCTTTTCCTTTTTGTTTTTTCAGTAAAGACCGCTCCGTAATTTTTAATGTCAAAAAGTAATTCCCCTCTTAAATTCTCCAAACAAAAAAAGAAAGAAAGGATAGCGCGAAGGTTATGGATTTATTATTTATCAATAAGAGACCACGGAGCTGGAGTAGCTCAGTTGGTTAGAGCGTGTGGCTGTTAACCACAAGGTCGAAGGTTCAACCCCTTCCTCTAGCGGTGTTCTTTTCTTTTTTTTAAATCCTTCTTTTTCGTACGCAGCATTTTTTTGGATAAAAACCTAATAAAATCAGTCTTTTTTCCTAGAAAAAATTCAAATAAAGTACTCACTCCCCCCAAATTTCAATTGTGTATTTCATTTTACGATAATTGAATAAAATAATTTTTAATTCATTTTATATGGAAAATGTTGTACCCTCTGTCATTCTTACTAATTTATTGTACCCTCTATCCATTTTTTCCCCAGTTACTATTACAATATTTTGATAGTTTATATTTGTTTATATGTTTTCATCGATCATTTGATATGATAAAATATTTTTGTCACAACTTTTTTGTAAAACTTCTGATGTAGTTTTTAAAATTATAATTTATACTTTT